TTTTGCAATGAATATATATTTTTAAAAAATTTAAAACAATAAAAAGACGCTGGGAGTCCTGTCCATTCTAGAAAACCCATTGCCAATGCCAGGTCAGCAAAGCCTGCCACTGTCCCTGACCCACACAAGAGCACTGGTGACATGTTCCTTTCTCTGCTACTTATCTGCCACCACCTTGTATTGCAGTTATCTCTTTACTTTTCTTATCACTCCATCTTCAGGATGAGTATGCCAGAGTTGGACTGTATTTATTACCTGGGATGTAGAAAGCACATAATGCATGTCTGTTAAATAAAACCACATGGAATGAGTTGTTGTGAAGTCACCTTCAAAGTACAACCAGCACCAGACTCCTCCTCCCACCTCAGCTCTGGTTCCTGGCACCAGACTCATCTCATGTCCAGTCCCTTTCACTAACTACGCAGGCCTCTTCCCCACTCTTCCACCTCCCAGGCAGGATCCATCCTGTAACGCATGGTGCTTCTTGTTCCCTCTGCGTCAAATAATTTCCCCACAGTAGTCACTCTGGCCCATGCTCTGACCTCCTTGGAGCCATTGCCCGTGAGGAGAACCATTCTCTTCCTACAGTTCAGTAGCCAAAAGGAAAACATACACACGCACACACACACACACCAAATAATTCAATTTACAGAGGGGCAAAGGACTCAAACAGACATTTCTCCGAACTACTACAAGCTCATGCCTGTTAGAATAGCTATTATCAAAACACTAAGGGCACATGTTGGCAAGGATGTGGAGGGATTGGCACACTCATGGGCTGTTGGTGGGAATATAAAATATACCACTGCTATAGAAAACAGCCTTCTTAAAAAAAAAAAAAAAAACTACCATTTGATCCAGTGATCTCACTTCTAGATATAGTCCACAAGAACTGAAATGAGGATCTTTCAGAGATATCTACACTCCCATGTTCATTGAGGCATTCATTACAATAGCAGAGATACTGAACAACCTACATGTTCATCAACAGATGGATGGACAAAGAAACGTAATATACACAGGAAATTAAATATAATTCAGCCTCAGAGAAAGAGGGGAATGCTGTCACGTGCAACAACCGGATAAAACTGGAGGACACTGGGCTAAATTAAGTACACCCGACACAGGAGGACAAGTATTGCAAGAGTCTATTTACATGAGGTCCCTGAAACTGTCCAACTCAGAGAAACAAAGTAGGAGGAGATTTCAAGGGACCAGGGGTGGTGAGGAATGCACACTGAGTGCAATGGATATTAAGTTTCTGCTGTACAAAATGAGGGAGTCCTAGAGATTTGCTGTGTAACATTATGTCTACAGTTAACAACACTATCACACACTTAAAAACTTAAGAGGATAGATATTAAGTGTGTAAATAGCTCCCCTTCCCAGGGAGGCCTGCTATGATCCCCAATCCCCATCCCTGGAGCTTCTCATTATTTTCTTCTTCTTTTTCTCTATAGTTATTATCATCACTATATATTTGGTTACTTGTTTTTGCTCCATCTACCTCCATTAGGAAGAACCCAGCATAGAGTAAGCTCTTTATACATAGGTTCTGAATGAATAATTGGTATGTGTCTTACCACAGCGTATGTATCTAGGCTGTACTTTACTCTTGTGACCTATTAGGACATAGCTCCAGGTCCAAGTTTAACTTGGGCTCTGAGGCCAGGCAGCATCTCCCAAAACTAATAACATCCAAGAGGCAAAGTTCAGTTGTGGCAACGCATTCTTTGCTCATATGAAAATCAATTTTTTCCAAACTCTACCTGGCTCTGTTTTCTTAAGACCCTGGAAGATCAAGTCCTGGACATCAAAGCATTACCTGGACATCAAAGCATCAAAGTCCATCAAGTATTACCGTCATTTGAGCGAGGATGGAAAATCCACTACATTTTCAATGATCCCTGAGCCTCTCACTTGAGTGATGGATTCAAAAGTGATTTTCCTCTTCAGATTTCTTTTCTCTAGACAGATTCCCCAGCACACACAGAAACATGAAATAACGGTAAAATGGACAGGCTAGATTAAGGACTCAAGAGACTTAAATGCTAATCTAGTCCCTCTGCTTTATACTGTGAGTTGGCCTACCCCAATTGCCTCATTTATTTTATTTTTTTAATATTAGTTTTGTACTGGGAATTTAACCCAGGGCACTTAACCGCTGAGCCACATCCCCAACCCTTTTCATTTTTCATTTTGAGACAGGGTCTCACTAAGTTGCTGAGGCTGGCTTTGAACTTGGGGTACTCCTGCCTTACCCTTCCAAGCCACTGGGATGACAGGCATGTGTCAGGGCACCGGGCTAATTTCCTCATTAAAAATAAAAAAGAAGAAGAATTTATTTAATCATTTCCATATTCTCTTTTCTTGCTCTGAAAATGTTAGTGTTCCATGACATGCTGAGCTTCCACGGAGATGCTAGAGAGACGCAGGGTTCCTCTCTCGATCTCCACTTCACCCCGTCTCCTCTCTCCATTTCTCTCCCCTGTGTAGAAGCCCCAGCTGTCACATCCTAGCGCCATCTGATTATGAGCTTCTTGGGGCTAGCTGCATATGAAATGAACAGGCTCTTTGTAAACATTCATTTTTTTCTCATTTATGTGTTCTTCAGAGTTCTATTCCGAAGTACACAGGGAAAGAGAGGACACTCCATCTGCTCTCATTTGCTGTCTCCAGGTATCACCCCTGGTCCATATAGTTTAGGTCAGGTCATTGTGGCATCCTCAGGCATTTTGTGGATCATGAACAATGGGATTTGGGTTGTTTTTGTTTTGCAATATATCCTCTCATTTAGCCTTCACAACAGCCCTATGACGTAGCTTTGATATCCCCATTTTATAGAGGAGGAACCTGAGAAATCAGGTGTTAAGTAACTTTCTCAAGCTGGTGAGTGAAGGGACAAGGGCTCAATTCAGGTTACTCTTCCCTCCTTTGCAGAACTGTCAAGTGAAATGGGTTTGAAGGAATGAGTCCTTCCCCAAGAATGCCGGACAGACATGGACCAAGTTGGAGGCACTAACATTGCCTAGGCCCCAAACTTATTTTTTCTTTCAGGGATTACAACTAATAAGTCTTCACTCGCTAAGCACTAACATTTGCACTATTTTATATCTTATTTCTAATTTTTTTTCCAACAACCCTATGGGGACATGGGGGCTCAGAGAAATTAAGGAACTGTTCTGAGGAACCAGGCAGGAACTAGTAGAGCAATAGTTCCTATCCATGATCCCCTCCTCCCTCAACTCTGCAATTCTTTCTGGTAATGTTGGTGGTTGGCCCTAGGGGCACAGTTTAACTGCCCACCTTATCTGAGTACCTAACCTACACAGCACCGAGTCCCCATTACCCCATCTGAGTTCCTTTCACAGAAAGCAACAGCTGGCAGCCAGGCTCACTTCCATCTCCCTTCACCTGAGCACCCCCTGAACCCGCTAGGTGCTCTCTTGTTCCACACACTGGTGACCCTCATTAGCCACGCCACTCACAGGGCCTTGAATTGACACCTATGTATCACTGTCCACAATTCCCAGTGGCCAAGGTGCACCTTGGGGAAGAGCTGAGTGGGATGTGTCTCTGTGTCTCCCGTAGCACGGCACCCAGCAGCATAAAGCCTTTCTCATGAATGCTTGAGAGGAGATGGGCTGCCTGCAGATGGCACGAGGATGGACCGTGACAGCAGCACACTGCGCTTCAGTAACTCTTGCTCAGTCCTGAAATGGAACAGGCTGTGAAGCGTGAGGGCTGAGCATCAAGGACAAAGGTGGTGAGTGGCTTGAGAACAGAGACTGTTTGATTCAAGGTTTAATACTTAGGTCAAAGGTCCTTCCCCTGGGGCCCATGACCTAAATGGAGAGATTTCAGCAGGCCCAGTAACAACCTAAAAATGAATGCAAATGTTTTGGAGGATATTCATTTGCCTGCCCTGGGGATCTGTAGCTTTCGCCAGAGTGAGTTCAAAGCCAGTCCCTAAGTGCACAGCAGATGCTCATTCATACTTGCTCCAAAGGCTGAAGGATCACCTTCTCAGGCTCAACTTGCTCTGTGGATGGAGGAAGGAAGGAGGAGAGGCATCTGATGTAAGCAGTTAACAAGGACTACTTCCTTGGCCTTAAAGCCTTAGAGGTCAAGTCCTTCTTCCCAAGTAATGTCCCCCTTAAGACAATACAAAAAGGCCAGATCTTAAAAGTGGCAATGTTTCCATTTTCAACTAGGAACAAATATCTGAATTCTGATTTTAGAGTTATTACTAACCAGCTTTAGGTTAAGTCCCTAAAAGCAAGGTGGTCTGTGCCAGTTCTCAACATATATTCAACTACAACCATGTGACAAATGACTTTCTCCTGGGAGAATAGAGTTTTTAAACAAATAGGAAGGTAAAATATGAAGATACATAAATGTTATATTAATGACATGTTCTAGAACTTTCTTTATAATACCATTCCATCCATCCCTCGATGCACCTATATTCCTGTCTTACCCCCATGTCCCCCCTTTCATTGCCACAAAGAAAGCAGTGATTTAGTCAGCTTTTGCATCACTGTGACCAAAATACTCAACAAGAACAACTTAGAGGAAGAAAAGTTTGTTCAAGGTTTTGCAGGCTGACCAACGCCAATGCTCTGGGCCCAAGTGAGGCAGCACATCATGGGGGAAGGGCCCGGCAGAGGGAAGCTCTGGTTTGGTCAGGAAGCAGAGTGGAGCAGGGGAAGGGGCCATAGGAAAGATGCAACCTTCCAGGCACACCCCCAGTGCCTCGTCTCTGCCAATCGTGACCCACCTGCCTATGGTTACTACTCAGCCCATTCAAACTAGGATGGACTGACCAGGTTGCAGCTCTCACAATCCAATCTGAATATTCCTGCATTAAAACAGGAGCTTTGGGGAGTCACACCCTATCCAAACCACAACAAAAGTGAGCAACAGAAACTCTTTCTAATTTAATTATTTCTAGGCATGAACACTTTGATGATTATGAGTCACAAATTCCTATGTCTTACCTCCCAGCAGATCAAGAGTATATTCAGGTCAAGAATCACAATGTGGGTGGAAAGATCCTTCACAGTCAGGTTGGTTGGAAAGCAGGTCTCACTCTGCTTATTGACTGAGTAGATGGGGGTGACACTCATCTCACAGGCTCTGAGGATTAAACAAGGCATAGGGTAGAAAGGGTTGTATAGTCTTGTATAGGGCTGAATTCTAGTATCCTTCTCCTATTTACTCTCTCTGGCCTTCAGATTTCTGACTATTGGCATGAAAAGGTCAGATTAGATCTGTGTTGGCAGGACTGATATGGCCCTGCTCTCCTCCTGGCACCAGCTCAGCTTTCAGCTACATTGCAAGAGAGTCTAGTAAGATGGAGAAAGGAGAAAATAATAAGCAAAACCATTCTTATATTTAAATGATTAGCAAAATAATGCATTGAAAACTTGCTACATAAGAATCATCAATATTATCAGGGAAAATTTCTTTGCAGATGTTTCCTCTCTGAAGGACAGAAAGGATTGGCCTTCTCCTCCTTTAGCAACCACCAAGGGAAATCTGAAGGAAATGGACAGCCCTGAACTTTCAGACCTTAAGGATACAATTAGGCAGGTACAAACCCTTGTATCTCAAAGGGAGGGATAGGCACACTTTCGGGTTACAGCAAGAACCAGGAATGCCCCAAGCCAGGAGAAGTCAGCTCATCATAAATGGACATTGTATTTCAACTTTTAAAAATCAATCTATTTTATGTTTTTTTTAAATGGCAATATAAAACCTTAATTTTTGCTTTTATCAAAACAAACACAGAAATATTATGGTGACACAGTATTTTGAGGGTTTTTAACACCAAAGTGAGGAGGGGGCATAACCTAGAAAAGTTTTGTGAGCTAGAAAAGTTTAAGGAATGGCATCCCCCAAATCTCATGTGGTTGGGTATCTGTGCCAGCCACAAGCCCGCCTCTCCAAGCAAGACAGCCAGAGCTACCAGACAGGAGTAACTGAATTAAAATATAAAATCCAGTGAGGGAAAAAAATCAAGTTCACCTTGAAAAGAATTAGCTCAAAAAGCAAGCAAGCTAAGGGCAGCTGACAGAGTGTTCCCTGGCGCCAGGCTGCAGGGCTCTGTGGTCCTGGGGGAACATTTCCATTTCATGCCCAGGATGAAAGGCCCTTGTGGACATCCCCGGGGGCTGAGGCAGGCGCCCTCATGATGTTGTGGGCAGATAGAGAGTGGGCAGGTCATCCTCGAAGTGTGTGAAAGGAAACTCAGAAGCTAAATGCTCCCCTGGAAAGAAAGGTCACAAATCAAGTAAACATCAAGCATGACAAAACTCTTTTTTTTTTTTGGCCACTGCTTACATTTGGAAAGTGACTCATTTTACTGCCCAAAGTTGAAGAAATGCAGGAAAATATAAACCAGAGGTGAAAATGACCCATAATCCCCTCTCCAGGAGATAATCACTGAATACTAGTGATAATCACTGATTGCTAGTGTTTTGGTGTAAGTGTAGATGGGTAGTGTGTCTAATTTAAATTTTGGATCATACTGTCTACAATTTTATGTAGCCTATTTTTCACTAAACATTACTAAATAATTATGATTTCTAGTAATTTATTGTATTCATTGAATTGTATTACATATATATAGTAAATTGTATATTTTAGTTATGCAGTTACATATATTTCAACATGTACATATGGGTATATGTATATATAATTTATGTAACTGATGTTATTGGAAATTTATTTCCAATTTTTTATTATTATCAACAATAATGGCAAATATAAATCATCTTTACTGTGTTTAGCACTTTATAAGGGTTATTTTATTCAAGTCTCACACTATCATCCCATTTTACAGATGAAGAAGTGGAGGCAGTAACTTATTTGCCCAAAGCCACAGAGCAAGCAGAGGATCAGCGAGGACATGGACTCTGGCATGCTCCTTTTTTTGCGGGGGTAAGGGGTGCTACCAAGGATTGAACTCAGGGGCACTTGGCCACTGAGCCACATCCCCAGCCCCATTTTGTATTTTATTTAGAGACAGGGTCTCACTGAGTTGCTCAGCACCTCACTGTTGCTCAGGCTGGCTTTGAACTCACCATCCTCCTGCCTCAGCCTCCCAAGCTGCTGGGATTACAGACGTGCGCCACCTTTCCTGGCTGTGGCATCCTCTTCACCACTTTGAATCCTGCCTGGGTCTCAGTTTCTTCATCAATAAAATATCCAGAGGTTTCCTTCCAACTGCACATTCCATTTAATCCGTTCATTTTACAGATAAGAAAAATACAATAGGGGTAAAAGTGGCAATTGTAAAGCCAGGCTCATCTGACCCTATAATCCCAGAACTACCATTCATCAGCCTAACTTCTTAAGCCTCAGTTTCCTCATCTGGAAAATAAGGGTATAGACATACCTACTTCACTGGTTGCTTTGAGAAGGAAATGAGATGATGCTTGCTACGTGCCTGAAATGATTCTCCACAACTGGTAACACCCAGAAGTGACTTTTAAGGGGAAGAATGTTTGCCAGTTTAGCCCCCAAACTCGCCTCAGAGTGCAATAGCCACTAATGAGGCCCAACCAAGGAAGAAGAGTTCTGTTACTCTAGAAGTGGAAATGAATCCAAGCCACAGCTAAACCACACCAGGAACCTCACCTGTGTCCTATCACTTACTGGCTGGCATCTGACAAAGGATTTAACTGAAAGCTTTAGGCCAGATTTGAGGATTAGTCCATTCCCTCAGGAGCAGGTGCTGGTGGGGTGAGTTCCGCCCTCCATGAGCCCATGCTGGCCAGTCACAGACCTCTCCACCAAAAACTGGCCCTTCCAGGCCAGATCCAGGAGGCAGTCCTCACAGAGAGTCTCAGAGGGGCAGCAGGCTAGGCATCACCCATTTATGAGCCGGAAGTGAGTTTAGGGACCAGTCACCATCTCTGTCTTCTCAAAGTCCTCAGAATATCTTCAGCTGTGGTCTGTTTACAGAAAGAAGGTTTAATTTTATTTCTAACCAATAAGAAAAAGAAAGCATTCTCCTTGGGGGTTTTTAAGACCTCAGAATTGACCACCCCAAGAGGGCCACCACACTCCTCCAGAGTCGCAGAGGTGTGTGCAGAGGGTGCCTCACCATGGTGTCATGTAGAAGTGAAAAGTTTTCACTCAGCATCCAATGAGCTTCCCCATGAATTAAATCAACTCATTAACTCCCAGCTTCTTTTAATCCTCCCAACCTACCTGAAAAACTAGTGGCAGTCAGAGTACAGGAGCTCCTAAAACCAGCCAAGAGGAAATGCTCGGCTCTGTCCATCACCTATGTCTACACCACCCCCTTCCCCTGCCTGTACCAATCTGATAAAAATCCCATTTGTCTTTCTTCCAGTTTCTCACATTTTTTTTCCAACACGGAAGACTTTCAGAAGCTAGAAAATAGCTACTTTACCATGGGCCTCCCCTCCCCTCCCACCCATCCCTGAAAAGAGCTTTTCTGTTTGAAGCCTCTATAGACCCTTCTCTGTTTTGGCCTTGAGAAAGAGAAGAGAGGGGTTGGCCGAAGGGAGATGAGGGAGCAAGCCAAGCCTGTGCTGACCACCACCTCTGGTGATTGAAAGGGGGAGGTTTTAGAAGACAGAAGAAAGCCACACAAAGCCTCTGGGAAGAAAGCTTTCAGTGTTACAGAATTGCTCTGATGTGGTGGGACAGGAGCCAGATGACATTAGAATGGAATGTTCCATATGTTCTCACACATTTTCCCCCTAACACTGTATCCATTTGCAGGGGGTGGAAAAAACAGCCTAGTGTATTACTGTTGGGTCTCCATGCTACACTTCCTAGTCTTCATGTCCCCAACATGTGCAGATTAGAAAGGCTTGCAGACAGCCCAAGTGATTCTCATACAAAATACTACTGCTTTGGGGGTGTATATTTGATAGATTCTTCAGTGAGAAATAGCACAGACTCCTGGATAGATAGACCTTTCAAAACAAGTTGAAGAACCAGTTCTATTTGTGAAGCAATGAAATGTCAACTCTAAGAGATGGAGATATCTTTAAAGAACCTTCATTCCAAATTTCATTGGCAAATGAGACACCTGAGACTCAGAGAGAAAGTGACTTGCTCCTCATCAGACGTGGATGTGGTGACCAAGAAAGCCAGGTGGCTCCTACACTGCAGGAATGATTTCCCTCACCAACTGCAAAGAGCCAAAGGAGCAACCCCAGCCCCCATTCCATCTCCAAAAGAGAGTTTTTTTGTTTTGTTTAAGAGTTGTTATTTTGTATTACCAAACAGCAATAAAAACTCAGAACTGCTTTGGATTCCTGATATCTGTTTTGCCACTGCGTGTTTATATTTTGAATGATAAATAGAAGGACAACATGAGCTCTTTAGGGATTTGGGCTTCTTTGATCTGGCTGCCCACTCGTCCCTGAGACCCCAGCTCTTGCGTTGCCTGCTCCCTGCCCCCAAACACACATTTACACCGCCCTTCAGTGGCATGTTGACTTTGTGTGACATTTAACCTTTTCAAGAGGCTGTCCTTGACACTCCCACTGACCTTCAGCCTTGGAAAACACTGGAAACTGGAGGGCAGCAGGAGAAGAGGAAGGCACAGGGGTATTTCTCCTACTGGCTGTGGGTGGAAGCGGGTAGAAATTTTGAATTCCAACAGGGGGAAACAGAGAGACACAGAGAGAGACAAGCCAGGGTCTGGGGCAGCCCTCCAATCACACCACCCACTATGTTGGGGAGAGGCAGAGAGTGCCCCCCAGGATTACGTAGGGCTCCTCCCTCACCAGCCCCTCTGAAGCAGATTCCCTAGGCAGGTTCTGATAAATAACCCCCCTTGTTGGTTGGCAACTTTTGAGACTCAGCAGTCCTTGGTTCCTTCCTCTCTCTCCAACCCTCCATGCAACACAGTTTCTTATAAACAAAATCACCAGAAAAGGTCACCTAGGACAACTGCCCAAAGTACGTGTCCCAAGGCCTCTTGAAGGTTGTCACAACCATTAACTGGTTACATTCTGCCAAGTCACAGTCTGGTGTGCCTCCAGCCCAAGGGTGAGACTCAGTGTTCAGCCTTGAAGCCAGAACTTCCTCTGAGGCCAAGAACCAGAGCTTTGGGTTCAAATGGTCATAAGACGAAGGGTGGCGAAGACAGGAGAACCTCAAAATGAGGGTTTAGCTCTTCAGTGTCTTTTGGCAGAACACAATTCAACTCATAAGAGACATCTATTAGGAACATCAAATCTAGCAGGCTCACAACAAGCAGTGGATTCCCTTCCAAGCCGATTCTCCTGCTTTTCTCTTCATCAGTGAATGGCAGCTCCGTACTGCTAATTTCAGCATGAAAATCTGGGCCTGGCCTCTGACTTCTCTGTCTCCCCACCCACATCTCATCCTTCACTGTCTACCCCAGGTCAGTGCTGTGGCACCCCACCTGTTTCCATTTTCACAAGATCAGAGCCAAGACAGCCCCCACTCTCAGCATTGCCCTCCTCTGGGCAGCATTTTGATTTGTTTATTTAGAAAACTTTGTGCGTGTGTGTATTTTAATTATTCATTTATTATTTATTTGTAAAGTATTATTATTTTATTTAAAGCACTAGTCGGAAGCACAAATGCCCACAGGGTCCAGGCAGGAAGTGTGAATGGAAGAAGCAGAAACATTCTCAGGGAGTGGTTCAGAGGCTGGACACTGTTTGAACTGCCCACAGGGGCAGGAGCAACCACCCACCACAGTGTAGGAGTGTGGGCACAGCATTGCTAGGGCTTCCAACTGTCCAGATCAACATACGGTTAAGTTTTTATGCGAAATCCCCTAATTTTTAAATGTTGTCTCAAATTCATAAAACTCTGAAACAGGTTGAGTCAACCTGTGGCCTACCAGTTCTCAACCTCTGACTTACAGAAGTGCTGTCTTATATTTAGAGATTAGGTAAGTAGTGAAAAATTAACCTGAAAAGACAGAGGTGAAGGAGAGGTATTATAGGCAGAGTGGAAACACTTGGGCAAATTTGAAAGGTACCAATCCACAGAACATGATGGAAAGACTGTGATTAATCCAGCAAAAGGGTGGCGATGAAGGATATAAAACTGGAGGCATAAGTTAAAGAAGATCATTGGAGCACCCAAATATTGGTATCTAGAAATTCGATTTTATCTTGGAAATCCTAAGGAGCCAATGAAAATTTTGAGCCAGGGAGTGACCGGCTCTTGGTGACAGAAAGGTTGTACAAAACCAGGTCTCCCCTAGAATCTCTTTTCTGAAGTATGAAAATCCCTCTCTCCCTCCATTGAACTAGTGGGCAGGTGATCACAGGCAGAGCTGGGGAGCGCTGCAGCCTTGTCTGTGGTACAGGATTAGCTGAAACCCGAGCCAAAATCAGCTTCAGCATTCACTGACTTGACTTTGTTCTTTTTCCTAAAGCCACTTTCTTGTCCTTCTCTCACTTGTCATGTGTAAGTTACCTCTGAAGGGCCACCTCGAAGTTATTTAATATGGGTTCCAAAAGTCCTGGGACAATGAGTCCTATTCCGTGGAGGATGCTATCAGCTCTCTTGAAATCACTAATGCAGGAAAAAAAAAATGGGGATTGCCCGATAGGATAATGGTTTCAGTGTACAGAAAAAGAGGACCTGGCACGAAGTCACAGGCTTGAGTGATGGGGAGAAGAGAATTCCGATTCCACTCAGGATAAGCTCAAGAGAGGAGGAGAGAGGTCAACATTTGCATTTTTTTTTTTTGCAATAGCCATTTGATAGGGGATCTCTGCTGGGCCCCGAAGAAAGATTCGGGTGGGTACCTTATGGGTCACATTGCTGCTAACCCCACCCAAATCCCTTTCAGCAACTGAAAAACAAAGACTTCTACCATGGATAGCAACAAGGCCAAGTGAGGTGATTCTCCCAGGCTCCATTTCTGAAAACTCCACTTGGGAGAAGATCAAGAAGGACAGCTGAGACGATCTCAACTGTCTCTCGTACAGTGTGGCAGACAGGCACATTTGGCCAGCACACGTGGCTTTACACTACTACACCTCCTCCATTATTGCTATTAACTATGTGAAGCCTAAGCTATTTATAGGTGATCCTTAAAGTCCAAGACATGAGTTGTTTGTTCTTTTTGGTCATGTGAATCTGAATTTCAAGCAGTAAGGACTGGGTTGTGGAACCCAGTTCCATAGCCAGTGATGGAGCCCAGTCAATGGGCCACAGAGCAAAGCACTCGTTATCATGCATGTCCTAATTCACGCACAGAGAGCCGACTGCTGGTGAAAAGAGAAGAAGTTAATATAAGGAAGAGAAGTTATATTGGGGAAATTATTCTAGACAAGTGTTAGCAGACCTGGGGATTAAAGGAAGCCTTGAGATCCATCCCCAAGATCATCTAGGCCATTCCACACTGCAGCCAGAAGCAAGGGTGGCAGGGTACCAAAATTTCATAAGCAATAAGCACTCAAACATGGTTTTAAAATGCAAAGTTAAAAAGAGTAACAACAACAACAATACAAGAAGGGAAACAGGTCAAAGTTTGAATAGAGGTTGCCTCAAGGGGAAGGGATATTGTCTTTGTCTCTGCTTCTTTAATATTTTATACCCTTTCTAAATATTCCTAAAGTGATCAATTATTTCTGTAGTAAGAAAAGAAGGAAAAAACCAAAATGGTGGGAGGATGAGGGCAGGAAACATGAGAGGAAGATTGGTAGAGGCTGCTAAGAACCTAAGGGGATGTCTCAGCCTAATGTGAGCCATACAGACCATAACTCAGGTCTCAACTCAAGGACCACCCCCACTTGCACACCCAAGAAATCATGGTCAACGCAGCTTTTCCTCAAGATAAAATTGCCACCAGCCACAAGGCCGGCTTCACTATTAGACCTGGTGATTTCTAATAATGCCCTGCATGGGTATCCCTATAGTTTTGAAAATGCTTTCACAGCTTCCACCTCCCCATTTGTCTCTCTGCTTAATAGCAACA